GTGTCACATGTTTTCCGAGGGTTGGATCAGATGTCCTGAAGTTTCGGGCTGAGCTCTTCGGAGTGGTGGTGGATGTGTTGGCAAACAGTTCTTTGTCATCACGCTCGGGGAGCCCCTGTGGGGTATGAGGGCGGCCGGCTCTGGAGCTGAGCGGCCCTGAGGGACGTGGCTAGCTTCTTGGCACTGTGGGCAGAGCCTGGGTTTGTGGTCACCACCTTGCCATGCTGCCCTCTCTCCTAAGCCCTGTGTCATCTCGCCATGACAGTTGCTGCTGTAGTGGTTCGAAGTGGGGTACCGGCGGGGGGTGCCTGGAACCATGTGCGACACCAACAGGTGAAGAATTTCCATGTCTGAGGTAGGGTCTGGGCTCGGTCCCAAGCAGTTTCTGGCACTTAGTGTGTGAGCATGGAGCGGGCCGAGACCCAGGACTCCAGCCATTGTTCCTGGAAAGATCAGGCGCCCGTCTTTTGTTTGAAATAGCATTTTATTTATTTTTTATTTTTAAATTTTTTTCCTCCTTAACTTTATTGAAAATCAATAATTACATAGTATATTAAAATTGTAACTCAGTGGTAAGGCAAATATTGAAATGTAAAAGATACAAGATGTAGATAGAGTGAATCTTAGAGAAATATTTCTGAAATGAATATATAGCATGAGGTTCTTGGACAGTTGTTATATTCATTTAAGTTTGTAAGTTATTTACAATGTTCAAATCTATTAATCTCGTGCTATATATTCATTTCAGAAATATTTCTCTAAAACTCACTCTGTCTACATCTTCCATCTTTCACATTTCAATATTTGTCTACAATTTTAACATGAAATAGCATTTTAAATTTCAACTTTCGTGGGAATCAGATGTGCAGTTCTCAGTAAGGGGATTGCTGATGTGAAATCTTGCAGCTAATCTTGCCCCCTCCCTGGGTAGTGCGGCCCCTCTGTGTCGCTGGCGAGAAAGAAGCAGGGTGCTGGGCAGGAGCAGCCTCTCTTGTCAGGCTTGGCCCTCTGCGGAATGCCGCCACTTTAGCTCCTTTCTGTTGTTTTTTTTTCATTTCTGGATGAAGTCTGAAATCTTGATAAGACCTTGAATTTATGAGATGGAAAATTACCTGGGATCAGTGAAAGTACACGGTTGCATAGCACCAAATTCCAAGACTTGGGTACCCAGAAAAATCTGCTTGGCTTCTCCAGGTGGCAGGGCATTTGGGGACACTGGGGAACCTTCCCTGGGGTCCTGGGGCCTGATGACAAGTCCTGTTTCCACCACTTACCACTGAGTTACTTATACACTGGACTGCCAGTGTGTTTACCTGGGAGGTGGTACTTGCTAAAAGAATTGGGAGGATTCGGTGAGATAATGTCTGTGGAG